GAACAATAACCAGAGATTGTTATAGTATTTATATGGAAGAGAGGTTGAAGCTTAAATCATTTTTCAAAGAATCTAAGCAAAGGGTTTCACTTACCACTGATACATGGACCTCAATTCAAAGAATTTCTTACATGTGTCTAACTGCACATTATATTGATGAAAATTGGAAGTTGCACAAAAAAATCCTAAACTTTTGTCCTGTTGAGAGTCATAAGGGGGAAGAGTTAGGTGACCTTCTAGAGAGGTGTTTGAAAGATTGGGGTATTGAAGAGGTATATGCATTAACTGTGGATAATGCCTCATCAAATAGTGGAGTTGTTAGGGTTCTTAGGAATGCCCTCACCAAGTGGGGAACAGCAGTCTTAGGTGCACAAGATTTGCATATGAGGTGTGCAGCTCATATCATCAATCTTGTAGTTGGTGATGGAGTAAATGAGGAAGAAATGCACAAGAGTATAACTGCTGTTAGAGCTGCTGTGAAATATATAAGACAGAGCCCATTAAGATTAAAAAGATTTAAAGCTGCTGTTGAGTTTGAAGATATTGAAACAAAAAAAGGGCTTTGCTTGGATGTTCCCACAAGGTGGAATTCCTTGTATTTGATGCTGGACACTGCAGAAAAATATGAGATGGCATTTGAGAGGTATAATTTCTTGTCTTAAGTTTTGTTTTTGGTTCTTTTAGTTTGGTTGAGTTTATTTATATTTTTGTTTAAGAATTGTGAATAGTTTGCTTTGTTTTTTGAAGATATGCTAGAAGTGACAAAGATATGAAAACTGAACTGAATTATGGGAAAAATGCACCTAGTTTTCCATCATGCATTGACTAGGAAAATGTGAGAAGGGTGATTCGGTTCTTGAAGCACTTCTACTACTTAACTGAAAAGGTTTCTAGTAGTTTATATACTACCAGCAACCTTCTCTTCCCAGAAATTAGTGAGGTTTGTTTCTTGAACTTACAAATGCCTTGATATATTTTAAATTTGATTTAAAATTAATTATATGTTAATAAATATATGTGTATGCTGGTATATTATGTCATTGATTAATTTTTATTTCTAATTGAATTTTAAGGTTGATTGTTTGTTAAAATCTTGGGAGAAAGATGTGGATGTAAAAGACATGGCACAATCAATGAGGGAAAAGTTCCACAAGTATTGGGGTACTCCTACAGAAATGAACAAAAATATTTTCCATGCTGTAGTTCTTGATCCTAGGAACAAATTAGGATTTCTTGAATTTTTATTGATAAAAGTGTATGGTAAAGAACAAGGAATGCAACATGGTAAAATGGTTTGTTGTGAATTGAAGAGGTTGTTTGCTGAATATAAGAAAACAGTTTCTGGTGGTGGGCAAACTGTAGTTCTGGAGGGTAGTGCTAGTGCTAGTAATGCCCCTAGTGAGAGTGAGCCCAAGTATAAGAGTAGGCAACAACTTAAGTCTGCTTACAAGAGGTTCAAAATTGAGAGTGGGTTCATGTCGGAGAAAACTGAGCTAGATAAGTATTTGGGAGAGGATGTTGAGGATGATAATGATGATTTTGACTTACTTGGGTGGTGGAAGTTGAATGCTCCAAGGTTCCCTGTCTTGGCAGCAATGGCCAGAGATGTTCTAGCTTTTCCGATTTCAACTGTTGCTTCTGAGTCGGCTTTTAGCACGGGAGGGAGAGTTCTTGATACTTTTAGATCATCTCTAACCCCAAGAATGGCACAAGCCCTTATTTGTGCCCAAGACTGGTTGCGAAGTAAATCGAGAATAGTTTCGGAAGAGGAAGACTTGGATCTATTGGACGATCTCGAGAAAGGTACAATCTTGTAACATTAATTTCTTTTATTTCATTTAACATTTTAAACATGAATTAACTCTGCTTTTCTACTGTTTGTAGAATTTGACAAAGTGCACATGGATTCTGCCATTCTAGAATGAATGGCTTGAAGGTTTAGTCTGTGGTGTTATGGTAGTAGGTAAAGTATTCTCACTCATTTTTAACTAACTTCATCATGTTGGAATTAATTAGGCACTGGTAGCATATTATTTTTTTTTCTTATAATTGCTGAATTGTTTTTTTTCTTAATTGCTGGATTGATTTTTTCTTAATTGCTGGATTGTTCTATTCTAATATTTATATGGATTGATTTTTTCTTAATTACTAGATTGTATTTTTCTTAGTTGCTGGATTATATTTTTCTTAATTGTTGGATTGTATTTTGCTGGGTTGTATTTTTCTTCATTGCTGGATTATTCTAATATTTATATGGATTGATTTTTTCTTAATTACTAGATTGTATTTTTCTTAGTTGCTGGATTATATTTTTCTTAATTGTTGGATTGTATTTTGCTGGATTGTATTTTGCTGGGTTGTATTTTGCTGGATTGTATTTTTCTTAATTGTTGGATTGTTTTTTTTATATATATAATTGCTTAAGTGCTTTTTTCTTAGTTGTTAGATTGATTTTTTCTTAATTACTGAACTGTTTTATTGTTATAATTGCTGGATTTTTTTTTTCTTAATTGCTGGAGTGGTTTTTTCTTAATTGTTGTATTGTTTTATTTTTATAATTGTTGGATTACTTTTTTTTTTTTACGATTGCTGGATTCATGTCTTTGCTTATGTTAACCTCATAATTTGTTTTCTTCTTTGTCCATCAAACAGATTCTTGTATATATATGGTGGAGGTGTTTTTGGGATCTTTTTGTTCATATCAGTATATCACACCCATATTGCAGCTGTAAAGAATCAATGCAATGAAGCTTATTGACTTTTTTGGACAGCTTCATTCACTTGGAGATTTGCAGTCTTTTGCACAGCGTTAACTTGCTCAAGTTGCTGCTTTGTTTGGACAGCCTCACATTTACGTATGCCTTTGCTTAAATTACAGAAAAATGCACAAATGACCAATTGCACAATGGAAGTTGCATCTCATTTCCTTTTTGTTAATATCCTGACAATGGATGCATATTTTTTAATTGTTATTTGATAGATAGTGTAATTAGGTTGGTGTAGTCATCCATCACTCTAGATTGTTGATGAGTAGAAAACTATGGTTGCAAGTTCTGTACTTTTATGTTATTACTTTGTCTGGTTAATGTAATCTTCAATCTTGGATGATGGAATGAATGTAATATTGTGTTTTGGATTTCTAGTATTTTGCATGGTATATTGGAATTATTTATTAATGAATTTTTATTTTTTTGAATTTAAAAATTACACCAGGTATGTTTTTTTTATCTATATTGATATTTTTATGTTATTATGTAAAAAATGCTAAATTTTGGCTAAGTATGGAATGATTTATAATCTGTTATCTGGAAAAAAAAAAAAAGAAGACAGTGTTTGATGTATTTTCGGTTAAAACCGAATTTGAATGTGAAATAATCGATTAAATTGGCAACCGAACCGAAGAAAAAAGAAGAAGTTCGGTTCAGTTTCGATTCTTAAAATTGATTAAAAAAAATCGGTTAATTTGAAATCGATTTCGGTTTAACCCGAAACCGGTTTTTGCCCAGGCCTAGTTACAGCATTTCAGCAAACCCCATCTATTTAACCGAAATAAAAAAGGGGCAAACCCCATCTGGGGAATTGGGATGGTTGATTTATCAGCCATAGACAAGAGTACTTCTTCCATAAGATGCCAGTTAAGCTGTATGCTAATTTATCTATTAATATAGTGATATATCTAACATGTAATAAATTAATCTTGTTTTTAAGTGTGAATATAGTGATTTGTTTTTGTAAGGATAAGTTCGAGATCCTTGATCTCGGACGTATTGTAACAATTTCTCGATAGTCGAAGTGAAGTTAAGCCTAGCGTTTATGATCAAACGGCTGCACGATAAATACAGTGGGCATACTAACACTTGATTTATTACATAACTCTCCGATCCCGAATTTGTAGTCGGTCTTGAGTTTATCTCCTTAAGGGACATGTCACACTCCGATTATCTTGCTTGGCATGCCACGTGGGTTCCTCACTAAAGCTTATAAATACCCCTTAGGGGTCACGTCAAAAAGGTAATTGTAACCTTCCCAAAGCTCCTTTTTCATTAGTCCAGAGATAAACCCGATTATTGTTGCCTTAAGCATCGGAGTGTCTACCTCGAGGACTAACCTCGGGGATTTGCAGGTTCATTCGAAGTGAAGACGCAGATTGAAGAAGGATCTCTGGTTTGGTGCAATTACATTTGGTGTCTCTGTGGGAATCCGAACTGAAAGCTTTTTTGTTGCTCTTTCATCATGGTTAACACTCGATCAGTCCGAGCTAGAAATCCATCTCTACCTCTTGGACAAGGTTAACTCCCCAACAACCTCCCACCTCAGCTTCCACCCCCGATCCCAAATATGTTCCCTCCTGTTGATCATGCAGAATGAGGAGATGAAAACCAACCTCATAAATCAGCTCACAACTCAACTTCCACCACCAACCAAGACGTAGTTGCAGCTCAGCTTGCTGCCATGCAACAACAGTTTGGTGTTTTTCAGTTAGTATTGGCTCAGTTATTAGCTCGAAACAACCCCGGTGATCCCCTCATTAACTTACTCAACCCTACTCAACAACCCTTAGCTCCACAACAAAACCCTCAACCAGTTCAACATGCTCTTGCTCTTAGTGAATCTCAGGGTCAATCTCACATAGCACCAGCTCAGCAACCCCTCCCTGATAAGGTCACTCGACGTTTGGACAGTTTAAAAAAGTTGGTAGCTGAACAGCGAGGTGCTCCACCTCCACACCATGCTGTTGACTCCATACCTCATCCTCTGAACACCAACATCACACTAGAACCTTATTCCATTGGCTTCAAAATTCCTCAACTCGAGACATATGATGGGACAAAAGACCCCGATGATCACCTCCATGCTTTCTATTCTTGTATGCAAGCTCAGAATGCCTCTGATGCATTAATGTTTAAGATCTTTCCCTCCACTTTTCGTGGCAATGCCCGAACTTGGTACTATAGCTTGCCCACAAGATCTATTAGCTCATATTCAGAAATGGCATCTGCTTTTACCACAAAGTTTTCCAGTTTTCAGTAGAAGGTTGATCAGGAAAACTACTTCTGAGCTAATGCGAGTCAAACAGAGGGATGGAGAATCTCTGAAGAATTACATGAGCAAGTTTAATGATGCAGTACTGGAGGTTAGTTCCTTCGACCAAGCTGTGGGGATTGCAGCTGTGATCTCAAGTCTTAACCATGATAGGTTCAGAGACAGTTTGATCAAAATCCTTCCAACACCTTTAGCGAGGTGAATGATAGGTCTTTGAAATTTATAACTGTTGAGGAATATGCCCTGGCGCAAAACCCAACTCCCTCTAAGAACCAAAACCCAGATTGGAGAGATGAGAATCTGAGTAGGAAAAGGATGAGGATGACACAGAACCGAGATCCGATGCCGACCTCCACATTGAGATTCGGAAGACCAAACTTAGCACCTCCGCAACAGTTTGCAGGTAAACCCCCAATTACTTGGACTCATTTTAATCTGCCAAGGTCACAGATTTTTATGCAGATTAAGAACAAGATGGATTTAAGGCGTCCCGGCCCAATGAGAACTACTGTTGCTAGCCGAGATCATACTAGATATTGTGATTTCATCAAGATCACGGTCATACAACAGAGCAATGCAACAGTTTAAGTATGAACTGGAAAGTCTAGCTTAGAAGGGAACGTTGAATGAGTACATTCAAAGAGTTGAACAACCGAGGTTTGTCAGAGAACAGAGGCTACAGCCTCAAGGAGTCCGCAATCCACCAAACAGGCAAGGCGTGGGATATCAGCAAGTCCCACCTCTGCTCCCACCACAAGCTAGAATCATACACATGATTACGGGAGGCTTGGAAGCAGGTGGACTGAGCTCTAAACAGAAAAAGTTGTATGTTAGAGAGGTTAAGCATCAAAACCGAGCTCAAAAATGGAAGTTTGACGACGCTGACTGGAAGAATCAACTCATTACTTTCACATCTACTGATTTTGACACAGTTGTTATACCCCACAATGATCCTTTGGTCACTTTTGTCATGATTAATAACTGTGAAATACAACGTGTCCTTGTTGACACCGAGAGTGCACCAGACATCATGTACTTCCACTGTTTTGAGAGTCTTGGGTTGGATCCAGCATTGTTGCAAAGATATGATGGTCCTATATATGGTTTCAACAACCAGCCTGCTCAGGTAGAAGGAGTTCTTACCCTCCATGTTGCTTTTGGGAGTGGCCGCACCTATGTGATTCCTTCAGTCCGGTTCCTAGTAGTCAAGATAGCGTCATCTTTCAACGTTGTTATTGGCCGACCCACGTTGACTGAAATCCGAGCTGTGGTTTCCCAATCTCACCTCTGCATGAAGTTCCCAACTCCTATGGGAATAGCAACACTGCGAGGCAACCAGGAGGTGGCTAGACATTGCTATATCACCTTGGTCACACAACCTAAAAAGGGCAAAGATTAGACACCTGAGGCCATCCCTCAACGGATTCCTGATAATCAGCAAGTCATGGGTGTTGAGATAGTAGATAATCGACCGAAAGATGAACCCAGAGCTGCTCCAGTCGAAGATGTCGAAGAAGTGCTCATTGATGATAGAGATTCGAGCCAAAAGATGCAAATTGGAACTAGATTGAACCTGGAGGAAAGAGAAGAGCTAATAGCTTTTCTCTGAACTAACAATGATGTATTCGCGTGGACTTCGGCAGATATGCCTGGAATTCCAAATTCGGTATCTCAACATAAGTTCAGCACCAATCCATTGAAGAAACCAGTGGCCCAGAAGCGACGTCTCTTCGGGGGGGAGAGGCTTCAGGTCATAAAGGAAGAGGTAGAGAAGCTTCTACAAGCTGATTTCGTCAGAAAAGTTGATTATTGTGAATGGGTGGCTAACCCAGTGCTGGTGAAAAAGGCAAATGGTAAATGGCCAATGTGCATCGACTACACAAATCTTAACCAAGCCTGCCCCAAGGATTGCTATCCAATGTCGAGCATTGACAAATTGGTTGAAGCGGCTTCAGGTAATGAGAGATTAAGTCTCTTGGATGCATATTATGGGTATCACCAAGTGCCAATGGCTCTAAAAGACGAAGAGAAAACCTCGTTCTATGCTGGTGATGAAATCTATTGCTACGTCATGATGCCATTTGGCTTAAAGAACGCAGGTGCTATTTATTAAAAGATGGTGACCATTGTCTTCCGAACTCAAATCGGCATGAATTTGGAAGTTTAGGTCGATGATATTGTGGTAAAAAGCCTGAAAGCAGAAGACCATCTAGCTGACCTTGATGAAACTTTCAACAATCTCAAGAAGAACAAAATGCGGTTAAACCCAGCCAAATGCATCTTCGGCGTGGAGTTTGGAAAATTTTTAGGTTTCATGGTTTCCCGGAGAGGAATTGAGGTCAATCCAGAGAAGATCAGAGCAATTGCCGAGATGAAACTGCCGAAATCAGTGAAAGATATACAAAGGTTGATTGGAAGGGTGGCAGCTCTTCATCGGTTCATATCGAAGTTAATAGATAAATGACTGCCATTTTTTAAGATTATGAGGTCAGCCGCCCAAAAGGATGAATCGAGTAAATAGAAGAAATTTGAATGGAATAAGGAATGCCAAGCCACATTCGAAAAGCTGAAGTCTTATCTTAGCTCACCACCTCTACTGACTAAGGCTATTGATGAAGAGATTCTCTATTTGTATTTGGGAATTTCAGATGAAACCATTAGTTCGGTTCTGGTGAGAAAAGAAGCCAAACAACAGAAACCAATCTACTACATCAGCAGCGTGCTTCATGGCGCAGAGTTGAGATATCCTATTGCTGAGAAAGCAGCATTAGCAGTTGTCATTTCAGCCAGGAAGCTGAGACCATATTTCCAGTCACACCTAATCATCGTCCTTACAGATCAACCTCTTCGATAGATTCTGCAGAAGCTAGAGTGCTCCGGACGATTAATTAAATGGGCAGTAGAATTGGGGGAATTCGAGATAACATTTCAGCAGAGATCTGCAATTCGAGCTCAAGCATTAGTAGATTTTATTGTAGAATGTACTCCATGTCATTCAACCCCTAATCCAGAGCCCAACGACTGGACCTTATATGTTGATGGGGCATCTAGTAGCAAGGGTTCAGGAGCTGGCGCTCTCTTGATTGGTCCAGATGGATACCAAAGTGAACATGCCCTGAAATTTAACTTCGATGCAACAAACAACATGGCTGAGTATGAAACTCTACTACTTGGTCTACTACTTGGTCTACAGCTAGCATTGGAGTTGAAAATCAGTGCGATCCAAGTATACAGTGACTCCCAGCTGGTGGTCAACCAAATCAACTCAATCTGCGAAGTCGTTGGTCTTGTGATGGTGAAATATGTAGCCCTGGTGGTCGAGCTGAAGTGCAAATTCTAGAAATTCTGTCTGAGCAAAATTCCCCGAACTGAGAATGAATAAGCAGATTCACTCTCGAAATTTGCCTCTAATAGCTCTTTAAGTTCCAGATTAGTTTTTGTGGAGGTCTTAGATGAACCAAGCTTCATGAAGCCACGGATGATGGAGATCAGCATAGACCCTGACATGCCGAGTTGGACTGACTCAATTATCTCCTTTTTACGAGATGGAATAGTATTTGAGGATAGGCAGGAGGCAATGAAGTTGAGGAAGAAAGCATCTCGGTAAACACTCATTGATTGGGTCCTCTATAAGAGATCTTTCTCACTCCCTCTTCTACGGTGCTTAAATCCCTACGAAGCTGAGTATGCACTTCGGGAGGTACACGAAGGTGTCTGCGGGAGCCACGTTGGTGCTAGAACTCTGGCTCACAAAGTCGTAAGGCAGGGATATTACTGGCTAAACATGTACAAAGACGCCACTCACTTTGTTCAGAGATGCCCGAAGTGCCAATTCTTTGCACATTTAACTCACCAACCAGCAGAAGAGCTCACGAACTTGGTAGCACCATGGCCATTTGCTCAGTGGGGATTGGATCTTTTGGGCCCATTCGTGAAAGGGGTTGGTGGTGTAACCCATCTGATTGTTGGTGTAGATTATTTCACAAAATAGGTTGAAGCTCGGCCATTATTCAGTCTTACCTCCAAGAAGGTCGAAGACTTTGTTTTCAGCTCGATCATCTGCAGATATGGGATCTCGAATCAGATTGTGGCTGATAATGGAACTCAATTCAATTGCATCTCTTTCCGAGATTTTTGTTCCAGCTATGAGATCGAATTGCAGTTCACCTCGGTTTACCATCCAGAGTCCAACGGTATGGTAGAATTTGTTAATAAATGCATTTTAGAAGGAATAAAGCCGAGGTTGGAACAACACAAGGCCAAGTGGGCAGACAAGCTCAACAACGTCCTCTGGGCATACAGAACAACGAGCCGAACTGCCACAGGTACTATTTCCAACCCAAGTTCCTTTCACTCTATTTTCATTATATCTCACTTTCTCACCTGCGACTCTACCCTAGATCAAATATGCATAATATGTAAAGCATATTCTAAAGAATATAATTTCATGAAATAGGTGAAACACCTTACCATCTAGCCTTTGGTACCGAAGCAATCATTCTTATTGAGATAGGAGTCTCAAGCTTCTGGGTCACCCATTTCGATGAAGGACGAAATGGACAACTGCTTTGGGAAAATCTTGATCTGCTTGCTGAAGTCAGAGAAGAAGCACGACTTTAAACTCTTGTATACAATCAGAAATTAGCCAACTTCTACAATAAACGAGTTCGCCCTCGAACTTTCAAAGTAGGAGATCTTGTTCTTAGAAAAGCTGGCCTAACAGGGTTTGAAACTCGTTTTGGCAAACTTGCCCCAAATTGGGAAGGCCTTTATATTGTGGCCGAGCTGCCACATCCTGGTGCTTATGTCCTCCAAGATGCTGAAGGAAAGAGAGTTCCTAAAGTCTGGAATGTCAATAACTTGAAGAAATTCTACCCCTAATAAACTTCTTTCAAGTGATTTATGTCTTACTGCCTTTTATACTTCTTACTTCGTGATTGTTAAGATTCATTTTATCTCTTACTCTATGTATCCGAGATTGATTTGTTTAACACTTGTTCCTTGAACTTCACTCCTATTAATGGATGTCACTTCGCATATGAAGTGCTTTATTTCCTTTTAACTCATTTGAAGTGATTTACTTCTTCTTAATTCGTCTGAAGTGGTTTACTTCTCTTTAGTTCATTTCCGAAGTGATTAACTTCTTTTTATCTCTGAAATGATTAACTTTCCTTCAAAACACATCTCAAGTAATCTTAGTTCTTTTATTAATATAAAATAACAAAATCGTAAAGTAAACACAACATGTAATTTCAAAACAAAATCTTCATTTAAAGTAATAAAAGTATTACAAATTGTTTTACTATTATTACAACAGAATATCTACAAAAAAATTAAGAAAACAGAAATTATTCCTCCGCTGGAAGAGGTGGCTGAATTGGCTCCTACTCAGCTGGAAGAGGTGGCTGTGTTGGCTGCTGCTCGTCCGGCAGAGGAAGCTGCTCATCGTCAGAAGGAACTGGATGAATCTCCACTTCTGGAACTGGTTGGCTCTCATCCACTTTAGTTCCTTCCACTCCTGCCTCCACTTCGTCTTCCTCTACCTCTGCCCCATCTTCCTCCACTGTAACGAACTCGAAGTTGAAAGTTGGAGGGAAAATAGTACGCCCGTCTGCATCATGCTCCCACTTCAGGTTGATCTGAGGACGGAAGTCTGTTGACATCCTCTCACCATTCTCCTCCACTCCTTCTTCTTACTCGCCGAAGGTGATCTTTGTAATATCCACCTCGAGATATTCAGCCTTCACCTTTTTTCTGCAGTCTGTGAAGGCAATGATGGCAGTTGGCAGCTGGTATAGGTTGACAATATTGTCAAACGAGCTGGAGCTGATGAAGTTGCTGATGTGCTCCTCCATCCCATTGTGCACCAACAACTGAACATTCTTCTTCAGCTCCGTATAAGCCTCTTTCATCAGCCTTATTTCCTTTTCCTGAGCCTCACGCTTGCTTTCAGAGATTCTTTGTTTGCTCTCCTCAAAGACGAGCTTGATGCTCAGGAAAGCCCTCTCCTGCTCTAGCTGTTTCACAGTTGGAACCACCTCATCCATCACCTCTTGCATTTTGCTTATTCTTTTTCTCTAACTCCTCCTTCTCCTTCTGCAGTTGGTCACATTACCTTTGCAACAGGGAGCGCTCCTTCACACTCTCCATGAACTCCTGGGCTAGACCATTCACCCAGCTCGCGCTCTGCAATTCAAGTAGAAGTTAAAAAAAAAAAAAAAAGAAGAAGAGAGATGGAGAAGAAGCATAAACAACCAAACAACACTAGTAAATACAAGCCAATTAACTTAACATACCTCTAAAACGTGCTTAACCACCGAAGCCCCACAGTACCTCAGAGCCTCGTCCCATGCATGACACTTGTCCACTTCGGGGAAGGTGGCGTTGATAAACCTCCTAGCTCCTGTCATGTTCTTCGCCTCGAACAGGCTGCTCTAAAAGGACAATGGGGGAACAAGGCCCTTTCCCTTGCCAGGAGCTCGTACTTCAGCCCCCTCCTCAGATTCCCTAAGCTCAAGGTCGAGCTCAACAGGAGGAGGCCGAGGTACGAACAGGGGAACCTTGCTCCCCCTCTCCTCCTCGTCCACCACCTTCTTCTTCTTTTGTAGTGCCCCTTTCTCCTCCCTACTTTTTCTCTTCAACTGCAGCTCTAGCTCCTCCTCCTCCTCCACTCCGATTGCAATGTTGGGCACTACCTCTTTTCCAACTGCTCCCTCATCCACTTGTTTGGTTGAAGTCTTTGACTTCTTCCTTGGCTTCTTGGGAATGGCCACTCCTCCAACAGTGTTAAAAAATTTGTCCATTTCAGCTACAAAACTAGAAAATACAGTATTAATCATACAACTCTATACTCTACATTAAACATTACAATGTAAATCTACACAAGCCTTCACTTAAAGCGCTTGGCCCATAGAGCTCAGCAGATTCTATGCATTCTGCGCTGGTGAGTTCCATGATGTTCAATAAATTTCCCCTTTTCCTCACCAACTTCCCCACCTCTTCCTCCTCATCCTCATGTAAACTAAACTTATTCTGGTTGGCTCTTTTAGCCTTCCAGGATGATAACTCCTCCACCTCGGTATCCCCCTTCTCCCACTCCGTATCATCTACAAAAAAGAATTTTTCCTTCCATCCTTTAATGGATGAAGGACTCGCAGTAAATAACGCTCTACTCTCTCTATTTGCTACCCTAGGGGTGAAATAATACCACCCCTTATCTTTCCTACTACCCCATTTTAAAACAAAAAAATACTTAAACATATTCACAATTGGCACATTAATCCTCTGAGCTCGGCAATAAACTAAAAATCCTATTATTACCCTCATAGCATTGGGGACTAACTGTGTCAACCCTATACTATAATCTAACAACAGACCTACTAACAACTCAAGAATTGGAAACCTAAGCCTGGCTGCCAAATAGTGGGCATACACGAGCATCCGATGCTCTCAAGGAGCAGAACACACCCTCTCCTCTACCCCAGCTGGCCTAATTAACACTCGGGAGGAGATCTCATAACTCTCCACCAAATATCCTAGGCTATCCCTGGTCCCAAGCTCAGACTTATACTGCTTCACCTTCTCCACTATGTCTGCATCTACATCATAACCCCTCTCTCTCCTACCCTTTACTTCTACCACAGTGATGGGTACACTGTCTCCCCAACCCCCACCACCTCATCTCTTCTCACCCTTTCCACCGTTTTCTCCGAACTAGATGGACTGCTCTCTAAGTCCATCCCACCATACTCCAGAGGCATTACCTCACTTCCTACCACACTTACTGTTTCTTTCGAAGACATTTTCTTAATTTCTGCACAAAGTAGGGGGAGGAATGAAGTCAGGACCCCTTAAAAAAAAAAAAAAAAAACTCTAACGTACACTCAAAATCATTCTCACTCCCAACCCTAACTTCCTTCAGAGGACTCCAAATTAACCACAGAAAGGGAGAAAGGAGAGTGACACTTCAATTAACTCAAAATCAGAGATTCGTATACATTACTTGATTTCGGTTTCGAAAACTTGATGTAGAAATCCCCAAATGATGCAGCAGTTCACGAGCAGGAAGCACACAGTAAAGCTTTTTATAGAAATTTTGCAGAAAATACAGAAAGTAAACTTCTTTCTGCAGAAAAATGACTATTTATACCTCTGGGCAAAATTAGATCTCAACGGCTGAGATTCGTTTAATCTTATGGTCCTTATTCACGTCGTTTCGAATTCAACTGTGTAACCCTAACGGAGCTGTTTGAATTTGACAGTTCATTTCTTAATTCCGTTTGTCTGATTGTCACGGTTACTTTTTTTAGCCCGTATTAATTGTACACGTCTTTAGACAAATAGCTGTCATATCACATAATAACCCTACGTCAGATTTTATGAATGGGCCCACTTAAGCCCAACTCAACACCTCTACTTACTTTCACAATTATATTTTCTAACAAACAAGTATTTCACTTCAACTCCGGCCACAGTGACCCGGTTTTACATATTTCACTTCGGCTCCGGCCACAGTGACCCAGTGTCACATATTTCACTTCGGCTCCAGCCCCTATGACTCTGGTCATTACTTTTTATTACGGCTCTGGCCTATATGACTCCGGTTATTACTTTTTACTACGGCTCCGGCCACTATGACTCCGACTCCGATCATCATTTCTTACTGTGGCTCCGACCACATTGACTCCAGTCATATTTTTATCACAACTACGGCCATAATCGCTCCAATCACATTTTATTTTGGGCATGGCCAACATAACCCCATACCATATACTACATTAATAGCTACAGCCATATATGCATTTGGGTTACAAATTTTAATTCTTATTTTTACGTTTACCTCTGTAACTCATATTTAATATTTTTGTCCCCT